TGTCATTGCAGTCAGCGGGTGTTTCTGTTGAACAGTCCACAAGACGTCAAATAAAGCGCGCGCATACATAATAAAACGTGCCTCACACAGATGCGCGCACTTCAACCCTTTAAGAGTGTAAAAAAGACGTTTATTTATTTATTTACTTTATTTATTTTTTGTGGCATATAATGCTCATGATATGATATTTCTGCTGCCAATGAACATTTACATGCTAGTCATTTTGAAGATATTTGCCAGTCTTCTCAGCAGGGATGTAATTGTTTCTGAGCCATGTTGACTCTTTCTGCAGGTAGATGGCCATTGGGGTCGGTGGGGTCCATACGGCCCATGTTCCCGTACTTGTGGGGGAGGGGTGCAGTTTGCCAAAAGGGACTGTAACAACCCCGTCCCTGAAAATGGGGGCAAGTACTGCCAGGGACTGAGAGTGAAGTATCGCTCCTGCAACTTAGAGCCCTGTAAAGACTCAGGTAAAGGAAATACCTTTCAGTCTCATGTTCAACAAAATGCGTAAGTCAATATTCATTTCTGACGATGACCTTTCGTTTGTGACAGGAAAGAGCTTTCGAGAAGAGCAGTGTGAGGCGTTCAATGGCATCAGTCTGAACACTAACAGACTAAGCCCGTCTGTGGTCTGGGTCCCGAAATACTCTGGAGTCTCTGTTAAGGACAGATGCAAGCTCGTCTGCCGAGCCAACGGCACCGGATACTTTTATGTCCTTGCGCAGAAGGTAAATAAATTAAAATACATGCTTAAATACTGCTAAGTTGTTTGACATTCATGGTTCATGAGCAGAAGTGCAGTTCTGAGCCAGTGTGCAGTTCTTATCTCATGGAAAGAATAACATCCACTTATCAAAGTGAACGAGATACTTGTAAAAAGTAATGGTGAGAGCTTATCTCTCAGATATGGCCGTATGGAAAGACACAGTGCAGGACTGCTTCTCACAATTGCCCGTGATGTACAGTGGTACGTCACTAGCAGTACACTAGTCAGGGGCGCCGTAAGGAGGGGGAGGTTAGGACGATTCTAAGGGTCCGACGATGGAGGGGGGCCCCCCCGAGGGGGAAATGCGATTTCTACCGAGGGGAACACACCCTACCCGCATATATATATATGCTTTTTGCCATGTTTTATTAAATCTGACTGTAAAAAAAGGAAAGAAACAAAAGCAGTTCTCTTTTCAACCTCTTTCCTTTCCCTTCCTTCTCTGCTCTGTCCTCTTTCTTTTTCTCTATTTTCTCTATTTCTTACTCAGTCTCTCTCTCGTAATCAAAGACGTCTTGTAAGAAGGTGGAGATAGTTTCATGGCTGGTGAGGAAGCCATTAGCCCCTCATGCTGCTCTCTCTCTCCTTGCGTTAATCTGCTGTGACAGCTTCACTGTTTACTAAATCCACATTCAGTGAATCACAGGATGGGAGGCCTAGCACCGCTCGGCTCCATTAACCCCTGACCCTGAGCCCTATGGCACCAGAGCCAGGCCTGAGGGAGGAAACGACACCTGTCCCATCCTCATGGGGTCACTCCATTTAAATTAATGAGTTTATTCTCAACATTTTATTTTGACATTTTTCTCAAAATTTAACAAATTCAATCTCGTATTACAATGACTTTAATCTCGAGATTGTTTTATTTTTTATTATTGCTTGGCCCTAATCCTCTACCGCAGGGGTGCCCAACCCTGCTCCTGGTGATCGACTGTCCTGCAAAGTTTAGCTCCAACTCTAATCAAAGACACCTGCCTTTAATTTTTAAGTGATCCTGAAGACCCTAATTAGTTGCTTCAGGTGTGTTTGATTAAGGTTGGAGTTAAACTCTACAGTGGACGATTCTAATAGAATTTAATAGAATCAGAATAGCAAACCAGTATTTTGTAATATTATAAAAATATATATATAATAAATATATATATATATATATATATATATATATATATATATATATATATACTCAGCGGGTGTTTCTGTTGAACAGTCCACAAGACGTCAAATAAAGCGCGCGCATACATAATAAAACGTGCCTCACACAGATGCGCGCACTTCAACCCTTTAAGAGTGTAAAAAAGACGTTTATTTATTTATTTACTTTATTTATTTTTTGTGGCATATAATGCTCATGATATGATATTTCTGCTGCCAATGAACATTTACATGCTAGTCATTTTGAAGATATTTGCCAGTCTTCTCAGCAGGGATGTAATTGTTTCTGAGCCATGTTGACTCTTTCTGCAGGTAGATGGCCATTGGGGTCGGTGGGGTCCATACGGCCCATGTTCCCGTACTTGTGGGGGAGGGGTGCAGTTTGCCAAAAGGGACTGTAACAACCCCGTCCCTGAAAATGGGGGCAAGTACTGCCAGGGACTGAGAGTGAAGTATCGCTCCTGCAACTTAGAGCCCTGTAAAGACTCAGGTAAAGGAAATACCTTTCAGTCTCATGTTCAACAAAATGCGTAAGTCAATATTCATTTCTGACGATGACCTTTCGTTTGTGACAGGAAAGAGCTTTCGAGAAGAGCAGTGTGAGGCGTTCAATGGCATCAGTCTGAACACTAACAGACTAAGCCCGTCTGTGGTCTGGGTCCCGAAATACTCTGGAGTCTCTGTTAAGGACAGATGCAAGCTCGTCTGCCGAGCCAACGGCACCGGATACTTTTATGTCCTTGCGCAGAAGGTAAATAAATTAAAATACATGCTTAAATACTGCTAAGTTGTTTGACATTCATGGTTCATGAGCAGAAGTGCAGTTCTGAGCCAGTGTGCAGTTCTTATCTCATGGAAAGAATAACATCCACTTATCAAAGTGAACGAGATACTTGTAAAAAGTAATGGTGAGAGCTTATCTCTCAGATATGGCCGTATGGAAAGACACAGTGCAGGACTGCTTCTCACAATTGCCCGTGATGTACAGTGGTACGTCACTAGCAGTACACTAGTCAGGGGCGCCGTAAGGAGGGGGAGGTTAGGACGATTCTAAGGGTCCGACGATGGAGGGGGGCCCCCCCGAGGGGGAAATGCGATTTCTACCGAGGGGAACGCGATCGCGATTGCTACTGAGGGGGATCCCCCCGGAACGCGATTTACCGAGAGGAACGCGGAACGTGATCTGTATGTTGGGGGAACACAACAACAACAACATCACAACAAAGCGACGAGCGATGCTACATTCTGCACTAGCCATGTCCACATGACAACTCATTGGACCAAATCATGCTCTTTGTATATATTAAATAATGTAACACTGAAGACTGGAGTAATTATGCTGAAAATGTATATACAGCAATGTATATACTTTTAATTTTAAGGCTCGTATACTTCATATACTTTACATAGTTTTCATTTTTTATCTTTATTCCTCTGTGTAAATGTCTATTTCTTTATCTATTTAAATACTATGAATGATTCAAAGCAGGACAAACGTAAGTTTGTTGTACAATGAAAAAAGGAGTTTCTTGAAACTTGGACAAGGAGAGCTATAAATGTTTCTGCAGATCAATTGGTAGTGTATGGCACTAGCAAAACCGAGGTCATAGGTTTTACTGGTTTTTACTATTGTTTAACTTAACACCTTTAAATTATCGTAATTAAAAAGAGGCTGATGGTGTAGTGAATGGTATCTGTGTGACAGGTGGTGGACGGGACCCCTTGTTCTCCTGATACCTCAGCACTCTGTGTTCAGGGGAAGTGCATTAAGGCTGGCTGCGATGGCAAACTGACCTCCAACATGAAGTTTGACAAATGTGGTGTGTGTGATGGAGACAGCCAAAACTGCAAGAAAGTCTCTGGAATGTTCACAAAACCCATGTAAGCGCTTTATCTCTGAGTCTACGGTTTTAAAAGATCTGAAGGACTAGCGTCAGCTGCAGCAATGTCTTCAGGGTTGTTTGCCATTCAGAAGTGAACTGCAAATGCTTTTAAATTCCACTTCTGTTCCTGATTTTTATTCAAATTTTAATTGAATTTGAGTTGGTGTTAATGTGATTTAAGGGTGCGTCCACACTTGTCATGTTTGGTTCGATTAAAACAAACTCTTGTGCGATTTCTCTGTTAGCGCTGTTCATTTGAGTAAGTGTAAACGCTGCCATCCGATCTCTGCTGCGCACCAAACAAGTGGAATGAGACCGCTAAAAAGATGGGTCTCGGTCCGCTTCCAAACAAACTCTGGTGTGGTTCGAATGAAATATGAACGCAATACGGACCAAATACTTCTAAATGAAAAAAAAACACAGGATGTAATGACAAGATGCGACGCAATGCAACATGATTTGATGACGTGGAACGAGCGGTGTATCCAAAACAAAATGAGCAGAGGGCTACATGGAGCAACAAGGAGGTAAAGTGCCTTTTATGAGCTCTTTGTGAGTTCGCAGTTGGTAAAAATAAAATCATATGTACACGCAACGAGCATGCTTAGTCCAGCAGACGGCATTAGGTGTGTTCGACTTAAAGCGGCGCTAAGCAGACCGACTATAAATCGAACACACCTATTGTTTGGGGTGTTCGGTAAATTCCATCACAAAATACATGTCATTCAACCCGACCAATCAAGTTGTGAACGTATGACTATGCCTTTAGGTTCGGTATCTTTAAGTTCGCTGTCAAAAATGCCAGTGTGAATGTTAAGCGGACCAGGACCAAATGTATGGTTTTCTTATTTGGTCCGGACCAAATGAACCATGAGAACCAAACTACAAGTGTGAACGCACCCTTAAATTGCGATTCAAACTTAAGGAAGCAAAATTAAAATAAGTAAGAGTTTTAATTTTAAGGTGACATAGTTACATGTCACATGTACTTACAGTACTATAGTAATTACAGTAAATTATAAACTATTACTAACACTAAACCAAACCCTAACTCTAAAGTACATGTAGTTAATGAATATTACTCAGTACGTATTTGTGTAATTACACTGTAATAACATCACCTTAAACTAAAATAAAATAACCTTAACATGAACTGAAATTCAAAGAAGCTCATAAAACTGCTACAAGTGTAATTAACTAAAGCAGAAAATAAATTAATCAAAAAAGAAAAAATGTACTTAATTTTAATTATTTAATCATTTATTTTATTTTAGTATTTTAATTTTAAAATACAATCATTTTTGGAACAACACTTCATTTGCCATCATGCTAATATCTGTTGAATTTTTTTTAATTGTAAATTCCACGTTAACTTCATTCCAGTTCAGCTTCTAACAGAAATTCCTGAGTGGTGTCCCTAATTCAATTCAAATTCCAAATCATGAATCAAAAAGAAGCCAAATCTTTAATTCTGAATATTGTCCAACTCTGTGATCTCATTTTTCAGGAATGGATATAACTTTGTGGTGACTCTACCGGTCGGAGCTGCAAACGTGGACGTAAGGCAGCGTGGTTACCGCGGTTTGGTTAACGATGACAACTATTTAGCAGTAAAGAACATCCACGGCAAATATCTCCTGAATGGAAACTTTGTGGTTTCAGCTGTAGAAAAAGACATTATCGTAAAGGGAAGTCTGCTGCGCTACAGTGGAACGGGCACATCGGTGGAGACGCTGCAGGCCTCCAGACCTCTCAAAGAGTCTCTCACGGTGGAACTGTTGTCGGTGGGTAAAATGACACCTCCTCGAGTGCGCTACTCCTACTACCTGAATGTGGGACATAAAGAGGGCAAGGTCCTAAAGAAGGAGGAGAGGAACCCTACGCAGAACAGTGTGCTGGAGGACAGCAATAAAGTGGAGCTGAAGAAGCCGGCCTATCAGATGCTGTCTTATAAGTGGGTGGCGGCGGATTGGAATAAGTGCTCGGTTACCTGTGGGAACGGGGTTCAAAGTAGACTGATACAGTGTTTGGATTCGGATGGGGAAACAGCTACACATTGTGATGGCACACAAAAGCCCAATGCCATAAGGGTGTGTGGTGACCCTTGCCCAACTTGGAGCATTGGCGAATGGTCCTCATGCTCTAAAACCTGTGGGAAAGGCTTTAAGAGACGCCCACTACGATGCATTACTCAAACTAGGCTGCTTTTACCAAGAGACCACTGCTCAAGCAAAAGAAAGCCACAGGAACTGGACTTTTGCATTGTTCGGCCCTGCTAGTGAATGCCAAAGTAATCGTTTTATGTGTGCATCCTCTGTTGCCTCATTTGTAATGAGAATATTCTCACAAAGGATGTCTTTTACCATTGCAATGTTAAATGTTAAGGTACAGCTATCGCCTACCTCGAAAAGGACAGGGTGTTTTAAAGCAACCAAATAACACAGACCACGTAAAGCTGTAAAATGTTATGCTTTGGCATTAAAACTTTCGCAAAAGCAGACTTTTACAGTATCACCTCTACATACAGAAAAAGTGACAAAATCAGACAGTGTTTGAAATTTGTATTCAGACTTTAAATACATGTGAATAATTTGATCTGAATGTGAAGCATATTGTATGCAAAAATAGGACGACTTGGTCCATGCACTATTGATCAATTGTATTCGTACAGTATATTAGGCTGAGATAGTCAGTTGATGAAAGCATTCCTAATCATTGAAGGTTCAACGAGCAGAATTTAGGGGTTACATATAAGTTTAGAGAAGACAAAATAATGATGCCAAAAGTAGGCTTTTAGTTTGGGTTTAGTGAAAGTAATCAGTAATTTACCCTCTCATTTTGGGCAGATTGTGAACACATATATACATTTATAAAATAATGTTAATGTTTAATATAATGGTACTGTACGCAAAGGGATAAAATAGTTAAATACTATAAATAAATCAGTTAATATACTTTATGGCACAAAACCTCATCAATTCAGCTATCTATATAAGTATACCAGTTAGAAAGTCTTTGGGTATCTTGATTTTTATTTTATTTTTTGTAAATCCAGTCTCTGCTAAAAGACACTGATGTTGATAAAGCCTCGGTACTGCAAATGTTGTGCAAAAGCAACTTCTTATAAAATATGATTTCAATATCAAAAATCTCCACAGGATACAGAGGAAAACATAAGAAATATTAAACTCATATTAAAAGCAGCTGCTACGGCCACTATGATTTTAGCTGTAAAGTCACCATGTTTCTTAGATGAAAAATCAACAGTATGTATAATTGTAAGTGTATTAGATGTATTCTCTGCTGGATCTATGAAGATACATTGTAACTTGTGTAAACCAAACGTTGTTGTTGAGAGCATCTCATTCATTCCAAAGGTGCTTCCTTGTATCATTATGTTTTCTCATCTTTTGATGTTAATACAGCAAAAGGCGCTTATGTTTTTCTATTGGAATCCATTGTATACTATGTATACATCCATCAACTGTGCAGAAATAAATACAGAAATGACATGAACTGCTCTGAGAGATCTCCTCACAATGCGTATGAATCGTGTATATGTTAATAAGCTTTAAACTGTTGGTCACGGCAGCTAGGACAATCCCATAGCGTTCAGTGACACTGGAATTCTGCTGAGACGACTGTTCAGTCTTTCCCGGGAAAAAACCTGACGATCTCAGGTCTGATAATCCTCTCCAATTGTGTGACGGAGCTCAACCATCTCCAATGTTTCACATGTCAGGCCGAGCCACAGGTTATAGCCTATACTTTTATATAAGCAAGACTAAAGAAAATGTATATAAATTAATATTTAAAAAATGCAGTGCATAGAATGGGCAGTTTTTCAGGTGTAACCTAAACGTGTATGGAAACCATATCTGCATTCATAAGCAGTCACATTAAATGGGACTATTTCTCTTTGCCAGCCCTGCACATCCCCTGTCAATTAAAACCAGCGGTGGTCAGCTGTTTCCAACTCAAATATTTCCAACTCAGTGATTTTCATAACAAATGAAATTCCCCCCTGCTAGGATTGTAACATTAGACGCAGCAAGTACTAACTTGGCATAGAAATCACAGTATTGAAAAATCAAAAGTACTACTGTCAGGGAGTCATCACAGTCACTTCAGTCACCATCCAGGATAATTACCCGATCACAGTCACCTGAGTTCTGATCACCCGCACCTGCTGTCACCAATCAAGCCACACTACAAATACACACACAGCACAGCCACTCACTGTCCGGTCTACCGTTCACTCTGACGAACTACTCTGGACTCTCTCTGCCAAAATCTCCTATAACGAATTACCTGCTGGTCCTCCCACGATCCTCCAACGACTCCGTGGAAACGGCTCCACGATCTCCAACGTAACCGGCATACGATCCTCTCCATCAGAACTCAGATAAGCACCCTGGAACCATTCACTGTGTTGACATTCACCTGCCTTTCACTCACCTATTCCAGTCATCCACTTATCCAGTCAATAAACCATCCTGTCTTGCACTTATCTGTTGTGTCTGGCCTTGCTTTGTGACAACTACCTTCTCCAGCCAAGGTTAAATGAAATCATATACTTCTATATATATTTAATAACTAAATAATATACTGCATAATATCCTTTAAATACTGTACATATCAATGTTATTTTAGTATCACTGAGATATATGTTTTACTTTATTTCAGTTAACATTTTACTTCATTTTAAGTACCAAAGATGTTTTATGGTTTTAGTTTTATTAATTATAATAGCCTTGACATCATTTGTGTGTATATATATATACACACATACTGAAATAATATTCTTCACACTGTATTTTGCATACATATAATTTACATAACAAATTAAAATATAATTAATTAATTTATCAAATAAAAAATACACATACAATGAAATCATTTTCTTTACGTTATACTTTCAATTCTGTATATATCATTGACATTATAAATAAAAAAAATAATTAAAACAACTAAAGGCGCACTTAGTTAAGCCAAAAAAATCTACAACATTTTTTAACAGTGATTATTTCAGTTATTCTGTAAATAATAAGAATGTGGCATCTTTAGTGAAAACAAAGTGAATTTCCACTGACGACAAAAGAATTTTCACAACTGAAGATATTGGATGCAAGGGAGCAAATGGGTTTCCATGTGGTCATATGAAGTACTAATAAATATTATTCTTACATCATGATGCAGACACACACACACAGCTGCGATAAAAAGAGTCTCTGGCTATGAAATGAACAGCTTTGCATTTCAGGTCTCACGTATTTGAGGATTACGTTCAACACCTAAAGAGAAAAAATATGTAGTTTTACAGCAGTCCTTTTAAAAAGCATGCATGATGACAGCTTTAACGCATTTATTTAGTACTTAACTATTCCAGAAAACTCTTCATGCATTTATTTATAGCTTGATTGATCTGGAAAACATTCATGCGCTGAACTAAACTTCAAGAGGTTCATCTTTGTTTGACTGAGTTCCAATAAAAATGGTCACTCTCCTATCTAAACACCGCACACAGTTTGTCCAACTCCACGATATTAAAACTCTCAGCTGCTTTGGATCTATTGTTCCACAGGATTGACCTTGCCTGCTCCTGGACCTTGAGAACACCCATGAAAATCTATATGATCTGCGGTTCTGAAATTAATGCTTGCTGAAGTTTGGACATGTTTTAAAATCAAAGACATTACCCTGTGGCAAATAAATGAAAGAATAAAAAATGTGTTTTTGTCAAACTAGTCAAAGAGAGTCTCTGTTTTGCATTCAGTCTCATAAATCCTTGAATTAAAAATGTATTAGTGATTTTAAAATTAACTCCCTACGTCTACATTCACACATTTGGTGAATGTTAGCGGATGACGCAACCTCATTGTAAGCTTTTAACTATTGTTACCCATTAAGTCTTTGTTCGGACCACCATACAAATCAAAAGCCAAGCGTGAAGACGGCCAGCAATAGTTAAGCAGGAGGAAAAAAGCTCTGTGAATCAAGAGGCCACGTTTCTTTCTTTGGCTTCTCTTGCCTGTTTCAGAGAGCTGCTTTAAATCCACGTCATTGGAGACATTGCTTTTACAAGGTCATTTGAGAGTTCAAGCTTAGAAAAGGAACAGGACCTTCTGTTGCGGAGGTCTCGCATAATGAGCTGCTGGATTGTAAAAAATTGCAAAAGAAATCTCCACAACATTAAAAAACCGAACGTTTAAAATGATCCAAAGCACAAATGCTAATTCTAGAGATCACATGAAGCTCCCAATGAGGCCACTGATGCCTGAGGGAAGGCCAAAAAGTATTTCAGAAAAGCTAATTTATTTGAAGTCTATTTTTATTTCTTGTAAATTAACATTCATTTTAAATATGAAAATTCATGTATTTACACATGTGTAAAATGCATAGTCGTAAACAATATATATGGCTGAAATTTACAGAAGCTTGTTTCCACCAAAAAAAAAAAAAAAATAGGTAATTTCTACTTTTTATCTCACAATTCAGACTTTTTTTTCTCGAATTTCTGAGTTTATGTCCCACAGTTGTCAACTGTGAGAAGTGAGGGATATATATGCAGAATTGTAAAAAAAACAAAAAAAAAACAACTATAATCTCAGAATTGCACGATATAAACTCTATTTTTTGCAATTCTGATTTTAAAATCTCGCAATTCTGAATTGCTTACAAACAAAACCTGGTTTGTTTAATATAAACAAATTTTGAGGGGGGAAAAATCCACAGGCTTCCATTGAATTTTAGAGGGAAAGTTCATCCAAAAAATACATTCTGTCAACTTCTTCTCACACTCAAGAAAATAATAAATAAATGAAAATGTTAAAAACTTGAATGACTTTCATTCTATTGTGGAACACAAAAGAAAAATGTCTCAAAAAAATTTTTTTACAATGAACAACAATGCAAGTCAAAGGGGTCCAGCGTTGTTTGGACCCCAAATTTCTTTGAAATATTTTTGTTTGTGTTCTGCATGAAAAAGAGAATTACACACAGGTTTAGAACAACATGAGGTAGAGTACATATTAATTTTTACAATTTTAATCTCTTTAATCATTTTGTAGCATGCTCTCAGGTCAGATAATCATTGAAAAATCAAAAATCAATACTTATGCATGATTTTGAATAATCATTTTGCACAACAGTCATGTTTAAGCTAAACTCACAAAGTCTTTATTATGTGCAAATAGGCTTTTCTACAATATTCTTCAATATTCCATCACAAGGAACTTCAAATACTTTTTATTTGGAAAGTGAAAAATGGCAAAAACACCGCATGGACCTCACCCTCTACATTAGTTAGTGGGTATAATTGGGGATTTTCCAGGGTTACTGCAGATTTAAGTTGCTATGGTGAAAAGTTATAATGCACACCAAAATAAGGGTTGTGCCTAATGTGTGAGAAACTTTAGAGACATCAGAGCAAGGTACAGAGAACTGGAACTGGTGAGATCACAGCCACTCCCTGATCATCAACACAGAAATAGCCTCAGATTATGACATTGTGCAGCCATCATCATTTGCCCAGGCTGAGTTTGAAGTAAACGGCACGTGTTGTTGACAATCAAATTTACTGTTGC